ATCTACGCGTTATGTGCTAACGCGGAAACTGAGCCAAATTTTCCGTTATTGGAAAATCTATTCGCTTTGTTTAAAGCGGAAATAATTTTGAACGATCCGGATTATGCGAGGAGCATGAACCTTGAACGATTGTCAATTGAAGAATTTTATGTACAATATTTTAAAGAGCGCATGCAAGGCAATATATTCGCACATGCAAAAGAAAATTTGACGAAGGCCCGAGAAACTTACCAAACGCTGCAAACAATTCCTTGGCGCTTTGCAATTTTACGTATGGGCGATTTATTCGCCTCCGCCTGTCCTTACTTTTCAGCCGAAGAATTGCAGTGTTTCAATCAAAGCTTAAAACTTATATTTATTGATAATTATTCTTGCATCCCTCATGAATCCATAGAGAAAATCATTGCATTGCACGAAGTCGGAATACTTGATGTTATTGCGGTTGGAAATGATTACACATTAAGTTCTCATTCAGTTAATGGCGGAGCATTTTTAACACTTGAAAATGGTGAAGTGCATGAATTCCAAATGTTCATCGATGCGATAGGTCAACCTACACTGGAAGCAATAAATTTTCCTTTTAAAACTTTGCTCTCGCAGGGAAAAATCAAAGATGCGTTGGTAGGGTGTGGGTGTGGGTGTGGGTGTGGGTGTGGGTGTGGGTGGGTGTGGGTGTGGGTGTGGGTGTGGGTGTGGGTGTGGGTGTGGGTGTGGGTGTGGGTGTGGGTGAGTTAAGAGATATAATAATCCTGCGTGAAAATATGAAACTGGGTACTCTCGTAGGAGGAGCAGTTTTTTCGAGAATTGTTGAGCGGATTATAATCGGACTATTAATTGCTATGGATTTGAGACTGGGCTTTATTTTTTTGTGATGGATTTTGGTTTCTTCTTTTTTGTTTTAGTACTTATTTGCTGTTCGCGCTTTGTGTTGGTGGAGAGCTTGATGGGTTTGTGGTACGTTTTTTTATGCTCAAAGTTTACATGGATATGGTTGCTAATTATCAATACGGTTTCGAATATTTTTTCAAGATGATGTTGTCGATTTTATGTTGTTATAAAGTACTTGATGTGGTTTTGGAGACTGTCTATAGTGACATCTGTTTGCATGTTACGAAATATGTTTAAATATATGGTTGAAGAATTTTTTGATGTTTGGTTTTTGTACATATTATCAACGTCACATATTTTGTTTTCTTCGAATAATGTTATTGGTTATTTTCATGGTATATATGTCCAGATTTTGTCGATTGTGCATTTGTTAGATTCGGATAAGAATAGATCGTTATTAACTGTTATTGTTTAGTATGATCGTTGATGTGATACGTCCTAAAAGAAGAAGTCGAAAGAAGGTTCCATTGGAACAAAACAATAAATCTGTTGTTGCAATTGATGGCTTGTATTATTGATCTGCGAATTATTTGAACACTTGCTTTTTTTAGAAGGTGATTTAAAATTGGTAAAACATGGTCTTTTATGACGATGAAAATTTAAATGCTAATGTTGCTGAAGTGTTGAAAACAGTGGTGGATTTAATTGAAAAAAAGAACGTTTAAGTGTCGGTATTGGTTGCGTCGAAAGTAGATGTGAACATACTTAAAGCGATGTTATTGCAGAGTTTCTTCAGGAGGGTAGTATGAATGATGGTAATTTGGGGGGTTTCTTTGTATATGCATACAACTATTTCTACTTTAGATGTTATATTGTCAACAAGGAAAGGTCAAAAACGTATATTTGATGATGTTGAAGATGAAAATGAAAACCAGGTGAAGAAGTCAAAATATGTAAACTATGATGAAGTTAGGGTTTTTCAACTCGGGATAGAACTATCAGGTTAGTAATTTGTACCATAAACATTTTTGCTTCTGTTAAAAAATTAATGGAAGTAGGAGTAGTTTTGTACTTTATATTGATCGAATAGTATCATGTCGTATTTGTGTTATTTTAATTTTATCTAGCAATACAAAAGGGACTGGAAGAGAGCAAATGTTTAATCGATATATCTGATACTATATGTAATAAGTCAAAAGATAAAATAATCCCATACGATGAAATTTCAATGGAAGTAAGAAAAAATTTGGGCTTAGGTGTGGGTGTAATATATCTTAAACCAACACCTACACCCTTATTTTAAATTATTAACTGATATATATGAATTAATGAAGAAAACTCGAATTCTTGTTAATTTTATTCGTAATCATATTGATACTAATGACTATATTAACAAGTATATGTTATCATTAGATCCTGGTAAAAGAAACAATGATCTTGTTTTAAGCATGTCTATTCGATGGAACAGATTATTAATGAATAAAGATGCTGTTAAGAATATATTCGCTTACTCGAGCAATATTCCTGATTTAACTGAAAAACAAAAAAAACGTTTAGAAGAATGAACTATTAATCAACATGAATGGGAATTGCTGACTATTATAAAAAAACATCTTGGCACCTTTTTTAGAATCAACATCAGTTCTATCTGATCAAACATATCCAACTATGGCAGCATCGTTTTATGCATACTGTGATTTAGTATTTTTTTTTGCAACCAAAATTAGATGATGATACAATAACTATTGCATTAAAACAAAGTCTTCGATTTTGGTTTAATGCGCACTGTAAAGAAAAATTACCTCCGAGTCAAATGGATATTATGCAGGTAATAGATTTTTGTCTAGCTTATTGATTCAATACCATCTTGAGAGTGTGGGCGTGAGTATTCTCTTCATGCTACACTCACACACACACCCTAATTTTTAACTTTTATATCTTTTAGAGTTCATTTTACTTTAATATTACATGAATTGTAGGTTATATTATCTCATATTTGGAACAATTTGTATGGTTTATGCTTTATTCATTTATTATTGTATACGCCGCAAACTTGCGACATGTCACTCTATTCCAAACACAGAGAATGTGGATTTAAAACCAGCTATTCTAGAACCTATAGAGCTGGCTGTCTTCGTAGGTCATTTCTCGATATTTAACATCATGTTGTTAATGCAATCGATGTCGTGCAATATTATCTCTTGGGGTCAAATTATACTTACGCATGACACTATTTTGATCTTTTTCAAACGTTTTTAATATTCTTTGAATAATTGTCTTAGATGTAGTTTTTTATAAGTAGAAATACATATATTCATTGTAGTAGAATTAATTCAAATTCAAAAACAATCATTATTTTGTCATCATAAAAATTTTGTTTTTGTTTATAAAATATACTATGAAGTAAGAAGTTTCTGTCGTCTTCAAATGATGCGAAAATAACGCAAGCGATATAATGATAGTTATATAGACACAAAACAAATCTGAAATGATCCGTCAATGTTTGATTCTTTGAAATAATTCTCTGAGAGAAATTAGTCTGTATTTTTTTTAGAATATTAGAGCATAATATATCAATCTTACAAATTTAATATGCACATTTCTAATGTTGTTTGTGAGTATAGTTTATTGAAATGTGGACTGATAGTTTTAATGAAATAAATGACTTAATTCAGTAGCATAGACGTGATTTAAATCAACAAATAGTTTTAAATGAATTCAATAATATAGTATTCACTGATATTGAGAATATTGATGCTTTGAAAAACTCAATCGAATTCATCGAAGGGTGTGCCGATAGGCACGATTTCTATACAATTCTTAATTCTTCAAAGATATTATCCTTGTGCGATATAATAATTGTCATTGAAGGAGTATCGCGTTCATTTTATATTGTAATATCTTTCTTATCTCCTTGTGTTATAACCTCGATCGTTATATGTGCATATAATATTCTCTTCTGTTCTCTTCTCTTCTCAAGCGTAGCGAGCAATGTATTATATCTCATATGTATGTGTAAAAGAGAAGAATAGGTAGATTTGGAAGAATGAAGTAGTGTGTGTAACATCGGTTATATACCGAAGATAGCGGTAACGCTACTCTTCCAATTTCTCTTTGTGATCACAAATAAAATAAGTCTGCAGCACGAGTAACGAATTATTCTATCCATAATAGTATCAACTCTTAAATTCATTACAAAGGGTGTGGGTGTGGATGAGTAATGAAAAAAAAACACCTTCACACGCACACCCGCTATTATTTTATTATGCTCTATAGTAAAAAAATTCTATTTCTTTTTCTTCTTCGATACTTTCGTTCTTTACTCAAAATCCGAATCTACCATTAGATAGAATTCGTCGAGCTCTATCTGGCACACGCGACAAGACGAATATTTCTTAATAAACATCGAATCAATCGCCAATTTTCCTTACATTTTCTTTCGATTAATTTTTTTTATGTTACTTATTTTCTAACTTGAAAGAACAAGACGTAACGCTGATAATTAACTCTTTTTTATCAACTGTTTGGTGTTTATTTACTCGAATAAAATAGATACGCTTGAAATATGATTTTTTAAACAATTTCAAAAATGATCGATTATTTTAGCTTATTAGAAATATCAGTATCCAATCGATTTTAATTTAAAATATCCGGTTTTGGGTATTATTTTCAATTATTCAAACTCACACCCACACCCTCAAGATGGTTTTCTGTAAAAACTATGTTGACAGTTGCTTCGAGCGATAGATAAAAGATTCGACAATAATAAAAATTAAGCATCTATTTAAGTAAACACCTTCAGTACGTGACTATCAATTTATATTAAAGCAAATGATACGAATAAAGAAAGTGTTACAATAAGTACCCTATAAAATTTATTTATATTTTCTTAATATACAACTCAAATTCATAGTATATCTACAAACGTTTTTTTTATAAATATAAGTTGTCTGTACGAAAATTTAATTATCAACATTGACGGGTGTTTTTCATACATTTAAGTCATTATCATATTCACACTTTTTATTTTGTTTTATCAGATAATGAGAAAAATGACACTTCGATATCTACCTTTCACTAAAAGAAAAATTGACGATTCATTCTTCTATTTTTATTCAAACAGTTTCAACTACACATCCTGATTTTTCTTGCGTTTCTAGTATAAAGAACAAATGGTAAATCAAAATATTTTATTAACAACAGTATTCTTAGTAATAGTCAATAACTGCCGCGTTTATAGTCGGGCATTGACATATGCAGAACAACAAATTCAACTTTGTATAAATCAAGATGGTACACGACAACCACTGATTATTGATACAGATTCAGATGTTGATGATTTATGGGCAATTCATTATGTTCTTAATGTAAGTATAAATATTGGATAGGATTATTTTCTAAATCGATCTTGAAGGTACCAACAATTGATGTTCTTGCCATAACGACTGCTATCGATGGATACACGTAGTTTGACATTTAAATGACACTCACTCACTGTTATTTATTTATTTTTCTTTAATTAAGGAAACCGTTATATTCAGGATCGAATGTTCTTACTTTTCTTGATCTAATTGGTTGCTCAAATGGTGTTGGCGTTGGCTTTGGAGCGACGTAAAATTTATATAGATTTCGTGATTTATTTATTTCATTTTTTTTTATATAGTCTTCCGTTAATATCGGCTGGTTTTCAAATTTCACCAGCATTATTGGATGCACTGGATACGTATATAACGTCACCGACTTGTCTGAATCAGTCAGTAAATATCTTTCTTCAACCATCTGCATTTAGTGCTATTGAATTAATTAAACTAACATTGAAATATTCTAAAGTACCCGTTGATATATTGGTTCTTGGAACAATGACTAATCTTGCCACAGCTATCTCTGAAGATCGATCGATTGTATCAAAAATAGGAACACTTTATTTTTCTGGTGAGAACATTTCTATATTTTTAAAATACTTTTATTTATAATCTTTGAAGGTGGTCAATTCAAACCATTAAGTAACTTTTCTTCTTTAATGCCAAATTTGACAATATTTAATTATCTGTATGATACTGAGACGTTACCCGCTAGTCCAAACGCTTACTTGGGTGAGTATCTACATTGTTCTGTCATTTTATACATCTATTGTAAACGTAGATATATTCGCTATGCAACGTGTTGCTACGAGTGGAATCAAAAAGATTGTTGCTATGCCAGGAAGTACACAACATACACTGCCAGTCAATCTGACCCAATTGTTCGAAACCCTAAAAAGAATGAATATTACATTAAAACCATTCATACTGAATTTTATATCATCACTTGCAAAATGTCAAAATGCAACTGAGTCTGATATGAAGTGGTAAGTTTTTTTTGTGATGCAACAAACATTCACTGACTCTTATCTACACATTTCGTATAGGTGGGATAACAGTGCCGCTCAATTTATGGTACAAATGCAAACAAACAATAGTCAAGGATTTTGTCGACAAACAAAAAATGTTCAATCTCTTTATATTATGTCGGCCGATGCTCATCAATTCTATGGTCAAGGCGTCATTGATACGGATATGCTTTTACCAAACGCTAGTGGATTAGTAAATTATACAATATGTACACAAACTGATTCAAGCATATTTTTAGCTGAGTTCTTAACTAAAATCAACTCAGAAAAACTTTATTCATGTCAACATCAATATAGTCAACGATTTGATATTCGTTTACAACAATGTATGTTAAAATACGACAGTGCTGTGCAACCAACAAATATGGCAAAGACAAATCATTTTCTAACACCTTTCTTTCTTTCGGTTTATTTATTTTTATATGTTACCTATTTTCTAGCTTGAACAAACAGGATCTGAAAGTGATAATTATAAATGATTTTTTTTATCTGTCTGCATGTGTGTCTTTTTATTCGAATAAAATAACCAAGCATTTAAGCATGCTTAACGAATATGAAGATTTAGAAACCGAAATTACTTTGGATGTTAATTGTTTTTGTTTTGACTTTAACCTTTTTTTTATTCCTGTTGTGCTCAGCGAGATTGTTTTAGATATTATTTTTTTACGCTGATCGCAATTGAGTCATGTTGCCTCGTTTGTTAGATTGTTCGTTACAGTGACCCAATATTTATATTTATATTATACTTTTCGAATAAATATATCTATTTGAGAAATGACCAATACAACAAATAACTAGAGACTTTTTTCCAAATAATAAATGTATTCTAAATATCAAGAACTGATAAAAGATGATTTCTGTTGGAGATTCATATGACTACAAATATTTATTAAAAATGTATTTAAATGCAACATATAACAAAGTATTTCTTTATCAAAATGTAGAGTAAGACTATTCAGGGGTATGGGTGTTAGCGAGGATGTGGCCAAAGAAAATACCCTAGTATTGTGAGTCTCTTTTGTACAGATTCAACACTTACCCATAAATTGTTTGACGGCTTATTTTGGCGAAAAAGTGAAATAAGACGGTATTTGTACAATCCTTTCTTCTCCCTTGTGTTTCAACTATGGTGTCGTCGAATCGCAACAGCTTTACTTTGTTTGCCACGATGGTTTTTTCTCATTCAGAATTGTTTAAGTTGAAAAAAATTCTTTGAAAAGTGCAGCGCGAAAAACATGCTTTTTCACTAAAAATATATACCAATACTACTACGAATCCTTTTAAAAGTTGTTTTTTAGTAATAGAGTAGAAGATGCAGTCGAATTGATCGAATAGGTTTCACTACGAGTCACAGAGACTTGGGTGTAGATAGAAATTAAACAAGCATGTTGCTTTTCATATTTGCAGTACGGTTCGATTAATCACTAGTATCTTCAAAACTTAATGTTATTTTGCTCATCATATATTAATTGAAAGAGCACGACCCATCTCTGCTTTGATTCTCACTCTATCTAATAATCAAAAAATTTTAACATAAAACTTTTGACGAACTGTAGTCTTTTCTGCGTCGCAGCCATGTACCGGAAGAAGACACATAAGGCCCGCCTGTTGAGCTACCAATTGACTGCCGTTCATCAACATTTTAATCTACTAAATATAAAGCTTCCAAAACAGTTACTTTCGCCATTTGCGATTAATAGCGATAAATCACCGAGATTTTAGATTTAAAAATCCTTGGTTATAAATATTTATTAAATTTCAATACTTTTCTCAAATATTCAAAGCATACGGACATGTACCAAGTTTTTAATAAAGATGTATACTGCTATGGCCTAATTATTTTCTTCACTGGCAAAACCCATTTACACCCACATTCTCACCCACGTCCACAAGACAACTGTTGAAGATTAATCGATTGACATTCTTTAATGAATACTACCTAATTCATATCACTTGGGAATAATGGCCAAGATCATTAATTTCGTTTTACATTATATTAGCTAGACCGCGTTTCACATTCTAGTCTCACATAAATTGAGAAAATAGCTTTTATGATACATCTTTGAAATTTGTTTGAAAATATCGAGCAATGTTTTTATGAATTGTGTGATTTACATCCAATTTTCTTATATTGTTCGGAAAAGTTTCGAAACTTCAGAAAATCTTTACAGATTTTGGAGACTTTCGACAGGGTGAGAGTGAGTACTTTATCCACCCTCACACCCTCAATCATACTGTCATCCATAACTACCCTCACCCACACGCAGACTCACCCGTTTCTTTTTCGTAAGTGAAACATTGCTCTCAAGTGATTTGTTAGAGAATAACAAACTTCATATATTTGTGCGCTTCCTTTTTTCGCTTGTTATTTTTGCCAATTACTAATGGACTCCTCAAACAGTACGCAATGTTTGTTGACGAAATCTTTGGGTAGCCACATAAATTTCTCTTATGAAAACGTCTCTCTCATTTTTAGCAGTAGTATTGTTTATGCAAAATAAGAAAAAAGAAAAAGAAAAAGAAAAAGAAAAAGAAAAAGAAAGGAGAGAAATAAAAAGTTTTACTATTAAAGAAAAAAACGTTTTCATAGCTACGGAGCTCTTATAAATTAGCAATTGCTTCGGTTCCTCTTTCAAACACTGGCATTCGTTTTTTGATTGAGGTTCATTCGTATGGAAATGACGAGAAGCGCATTTCTCACTAGTATTTATCTATGTTTACTTTTGGCGTACAGTAAAGGTAATTTCAAATCGATGAGAATGATTTCTTTGATCTCTTTTATCTAGGTGCATCACTGAAATCTTCAGCAAGTTGCATGGTTGATTCCTGCAGCTCTGGTGGTCAAAATGGTAGTTGTTCGTTATCAAGCTTATGTTATCGTTTTGATACATCGAAAAATAAAACAGTGTGTGCACCTGCAGCAAACTGTTCCTTATTCGACGCTTGTTCGAGTACAAAAACATGTGCGTCAAATAACTCTGTTTGTGTCATCAACAGCTGCTGTTTAACACCTATTTGTATGCCTACTGCTATGACAGCCGTATGTTCATCAATAAGTAATGCGACTACGAATTCGACAAATTCCGGAACATCCACAATAGGTACGTACGTATTATAAATCTAGCAAAGTTCTGATGAAAAAGGGAAGAGTCACTATCACCGCGGATACGCATGCTTTCTCTAGCGTCATTAAAGTCTATAAGCAGACCTGTCTATGTCCTCACCCACACATACGTACCAAGAATCGATAGACAGTTTGCAATGATTTGTGCCTTCTGAATTTGTGACGGAACATAACGCAACTAACAGATAGTTCTATCGCTGTATTAGGCAGCTTAGTTATGTTTCGATTCTGAAATGTGAAGTTGATGTTAGATGACTGATGATTTTATTACAAACTAATATGTGTTTTTTTCTGTCTCATCAACTTCTAGATGCTATTTGTTCGGCTGCTATTTGGAATGAAATTGATCAAATCGCCGTAAATCTAACTAACATCTTTTTGAATAACAATTTTTATGTTCCCGCGTACGATTTTTGGCTCGATGCCAAAAATAATTACATCCTCACTGATGGTTATAACCGTCGTGTTATTAAATTTCAAGCAAATGATACGTCGACATACACTGTGATCGGTGCTCCCAATACAACGATCCCTTACACACCTAACAGAGTGTTTGTTGATTCTAACGGAACTGTTTATTCAGCCGAATCTGGAGTAAGTTTCTGTTTGTCACTTACGCACATAAGTAGTAAAAGCCTTCTCACATAGAAAATGAGACATGAGTTTAGAGAAAATCTGTCGATTTAATGGTGCATATATTTTACTCTAAACTTCTCACAAAACTAAAAATGACTGATCTGTAGGTTATGCAACTAACAGAAAGTGAAATTCGATACGCTTTATGATCCGTTGAAAGTATTTTTTACAGATTATAATCACCCATCTGACTATTCTTACTACACGAAAACGATGTCCTTTTTTATATCTGATTAGTCATTTCTGAATTGAGCCGATGGGTCAGGGTGTGGGTGGGTGTGAGTCCGAGTATGGTTGAGGGTGTCTGTCTTTCACACCCAGACCTACCTACACTCTGACCCAAGCATCTGAGTCACAATCAGACCTAGGCCAAATCGTTTGGGCTTGGTGTATACTCACATACATATTTTATATTGATTTATCTCAATCATCACCTACATCCACACCCCCTCAAAATGATTTCCTACTATAAACCCTCTTAGCAAATAAAGAAGACTATAAACTTATTGTTTAATAATCTAATGGAAATAATATGATTTTATTCTGTTGTAAGTATGGTAACGGGATTTATGGATACAACAACTATTACCGAGTAGTACAATATGTGGAGAGCAACGGTACAGACGGCACTGTGTTATTCGGAGATGCGATATGTGGTAATCAAGTGGATCAGCTATGCCAGTGTGGTGGTCTTTTTGTTGACGAGCAAGGTTCTATCTACTACTCTGATACACGTAATCATCGTGTTGTAAAAATCATACCGTTTACAATGATGCTGACTATTGTGGCTGGTAGTGCTAACGGAACGGCGGGATCGATGCTCGATCAGTTGAATAATCCAGCCGGTATATACGTTGACAACAATAATACTTTATATGTGGCAGATACCCATAACAGGTAAGTCGCAATCTGTCGTTTAATATATTGGTCGTTTTTGTGAGTCACAGTAAGCCATTTCTTGTACAAATAAAACTGTTCAAGAATAGGAGTGTGTTAGTTCCTGGTGGGGAGTCTGCACGAACTGATTCTTCTAGTTTTGTTGCGAACGGTAGTGAAGCTAGACACTAGATCCATATTCGCGAGAAAGAGTTGACTCACGAGGGAACCTTTTTAGGTGTTGGTCTCGAATTTGAATTATTTTTCGACCCATTAGTACTATGTAGTGCCCTAATAAGAACCCTAAAAGGATTTG